AGGTTGTTTGCAGATGTGATGAAATTAAGATGAGGTCATTCTTGATTAGGATGGGCCCTGATCCAAAGACTGGTGTCCTTGGGAGATGAGGGAAATTTGGACGCAGATACACAAAGGAAAACTCCATGTGAAGAAAGAGACAGACTGCAGTGATATGTCTGCAAGCTGAGGAACATCAAGGATTGCCAGCAATTGTCAGAATCTGGGAGAGAGGCGTGGAACAGACAGACTCTCCCACAGACTCGCAGGGAGGAGGCTGATTTCTGCTGCCGCGTTCATTTCAGACTTCCCATCTCTGGAACCGCGAGGACACATTTCTGTTGCTTTAAGCCACCCAGTTTGTGTGATGTGTTACGGCCACCCTAAGGAAATAATACAGAGACTTAATTGACACCTGTAGTTTAGGCCCATTTTGCAATAAAAAGATTAGAGTCATAGTTCTGAAATCATTCTTTTATTGTGCACACACGTATCTGTGGTCTGCTGGACTTCCTTTAACTAGGAGTCTAAGTTCCCATGCAGTGAAATGGGCCAAAATTCACATCTTGTTTCCAAGGCTAAACGGGTAATTAACGAATGTGTTGCATATTTAAATGCTCAAAGGAGGCTCAAATGATTAAAACAAAACTACTAAAAATAAAACATAAGCATGCGTGCTTTCCCATCAGTATACATTCCACATGATCCCACTGAACTCTGTGAACTCCTCAAGGGAAGGTTTCTTTTCCAATATTTGCAGACGCTGCAGTTCAAGAACTTGTGCAGTTGGCTCTGTTTAAAAATTTTGTTCAATGTGTCTGAGCGGTTCGATGTCTACGAAAACCAATATTACCATTTTTCATACTGTAACAAGAATAAATACACCAAAAAAACCCATGTTATCTCTAAGACAAAGCATTTACATCATGGGTTACAAAGACAATATAATGGCTGTACAATGTCTATAACAATGTGTTACATCTACAAAGAGAGTAAAAAGGTATATTCACATTTTGTTTCCTTTAAAAACCAAATATCAAAACCGACATTTTATATATTAATAAGTTTTATAACATATAAAGTTTTCCTTGATTCAACAAGTATTTCTTTAGTCCTCTCCACGTGCCTGCTCTCATTTTAAGAGGCATCAGTGTTTATTTTTATCTGGGCATATCTGTGGTTGTGACATAACTATAATGTTGTTAATTGAGTTTTAAAAGTCCATCATCTAATAACAAAGCCCTCCCCAGTCCCACCTTATAAATACAGCTTAATAAAGAAAAGGCTTACTTTTCCATGGGTATAGTTTCAAGACTATAAAAATACAAAAAAAAGAGATAAAATTATTTTTTAATTACAGTTACAGCCCAGGAGCTGCATCCTCCACATTTTCACTCTAATACAGACGCTGACGAAGCAAATTCAGAAGAAACACATAATGCAGAGGAGGTGACTAACGTAAAAATGAACACAGTTTGAATACAAGTTCACCAGGAAGAGTGGAGTGCGGACTACAGAGTCAAAACGAAAACTAGTGAAACAGTTACAAAGTAAAGTGCCAAGTCCCCGGGACAGAGGAACTGCAAATGAGAAATAAGAAGGCTGGTTAAGGAAGCTGAGATCAGGCAAGGGGACAAATAGGTCAAGCATAGAAAATCAGTACAAAGAAAACATCTGAATAGGGCTGACCTGCCGCTTAAAAAAATGATCAAGTATAATCTCATCAGAGCTCTTCCCCAGAAAGCTCTTGGAAGGAAGCACCACTGAGAAAGCGACCCCGTGGCCCTTACATGCACACTTACCCATCATCATACACGTCCTCAGAATCCATCCGACGGTAATACTTGGCCAGCTTCACAGCAAAAATTATAGCTGGAAGCAAAAATACAGTAGCTTTTCCTAGGCCAAACCAAAACAAATTCTGGAGAGGGGAAAAAGGAAAATCAGGAGGATTAGACGCTTGGAGATGAGAAATGGAAAACAACACTTGCTTGGGTTTTTTTTTTTTTTAATGGATTCTAACTTTGCTCATCGAAGCCGGTTGTGAATTTAAGATGCGCTGGCCACTGTGTGAAGTGCCACGTCTTATTATAATTCATTCAATCTTTCTGAAAACCTTGACTAGATCCTATTGTATTTGTTTATTTTACAAACAAGGAACAGAGGCAGCAAGTGGTGAAGCCAGGATTAGCATCCTGGATCCCCAGAAACCACTGCTCACCACCCCACTAGATGGCCTCCCTTTGCGGCCAGCGGCAGGAGCATGGGCAAATCTTTCCATGAGTTGCTCTGATGTTAGGGTGGCTCATGAAACTTCCTGGCTTTGTTCTGCATCGGAACAGTGGACGGCAGTATCCTAACCCCATAACATTACTGGGTGAAGAAAGCAGAAGCAATGCTCGGTGCAGCTGAGGCCCCCAACAAACACCTCATGACTCATTAAACCAACTTTAGGGTCAGTTGGAGGCTGGATTCAATCCTGTTTTTGTCCAAAAAACAATGTTAAAGTTATTTTTTTGAAGACAGTTGCCAATATTCCTAAGTCAGATTTCACCTCGAAACTTGGGTTTACGCATCTTTTCTCAGAAAGTCTCAAGTTAGATCTTGTAACAGCTGGACTCTCGAGCCCACAAGGTGACGTCAGCTGGAGCCAAGCGATGGTTCTTCCTTCAAGAGGGGCATCTGTCCTCAGCCTGCTGCAGGCCACACCACGAGCTCTCGCAGGGGCGCTACCCGA